ATCACCGTCCCCCTGCCCTGTCCCAGCGCCTCCTGGGACACCAACACCCACCATGGTCCCCTCCTCCCCATTGTGGTCCATCACTGTCCCCTCCTCTCCGTCACCATCCCAGCCCCTCCTGGGACACCGTCCCCCATGGTCCCCTCCTCTCCATCGTGGTCCATCACCAGCCCCCATTCTCCATCACAGTCCCCTCCTCTCCATCACAGTCCCTCCTGGGACCCCGTTCTCCGTCATGGTCCTCTCTTCTCCATCATGGTCCCCCACTGTCCATCACCATCCCCCCTAGGACCCTGTTCTCCCATAGTGGTCCCCTCCTCTCCATCATGGTCCATTACAGTCCCCTCCTCTCCATCACTGTTCCTCCTGGGGCCCCATTCTCCATCATGGTCCCCCCTAGGCCACCGTCATCCATCACAGTCCCTCCTGTGACACCGATCTCCTTTGTGGTCCCCTCTTCTCCATCACGGTCCCCTGCTCTCCCCCACAGCCCCTCCTGGGACCCCGTTCTCCATCATGGTCCCCCACTGTCCACCACCGTCCCTCCCGGTCCCCTGCGCTCCCCCACAGCCCCTCCTGGGACCCCGTTCTCCATCATGGTCCCCCACTGTCCATCACCGTCCCTCCTAGGACCCCGTCCTCCCATCGCTGTCCCCTCCTCCCCATCCCTGTCCCCTCTTCTCCATCACGGGCCTTCCTGGGACCTCATTGTCCATCATGGTCTCTTCTAGGACCCCGTTATCCCATCATGGTTTGCTCTTGTCCATCACCGTCCCTTCTTGTCCATCAAGATCCCTCCTGGGACCCCGTTGTCCATCATGGTCCCCTCTTGTCCATCACCATCCCTCCTGGGACCCTGTTCTCCATCACGGTCCCCTCTTGTCCATCACCATCCCTTCTTGTCCATCATGGTCCCTCCTGGGACCGCTCTTGTCCATCACGGTCCCTTCCTCTCCATCACGGTCCCTCCTGGGACCCTGTTATCCATTGCCGTCCCTTGTTTTCCATCACGGTCCCCTCCTCTCCATCGCTGTCCCCTCTCGTCCATCACCATCCCTCCTGGGACCCCGTTCTCCATCATGGTCCCCTCTTGTCCATCACCATCCCTTCTTGTCCAGCACGGTCCCTCCTGGGACCCCTCTTGTCCATCACGGTCCCTCCTGGGACCGCTCTTGTCCATCACGGTCCCCTCTTGTCCATCACCATCCCTTCTTGTCCAGCACGGTCCCTCCTGGGACCCCTCTTGTCCATCACGGTCCCTCCTGGGACCGCTCTTGTCCATCACGGTCCCCTCTTGTCCATCACCATCCCTTCTTGTCCAGCACGGTCCCTCCTGGGACCCCTCTTGTCCATCACGGTCCCTCCTGGGACCGCTCTTGTCCATCACGGTCCCCTCTTGTCCATCACCATCCCTTCTTGTCCAGCACGGTCCCTCCTGGGACCCCTCTTGTCCATCACGGTCCCTCCTGGGACCGCTCTTGTCCATCACGGTCCCCTCTTGTCCATCACCATCCCTTCTTGTCCAGCACGGTCCCTCCTGGGACCCCTCTTGTCCATCACGGTCCCTCCTGGGACCGCTCTTGTCCATCACGGTCCCCTCTTGTCCATCACCATCCCTTCTTGTCACCAACACCCACCATGGTCCCCTCCTCCCCATTATGGTCCCTCACTGACCCCTCCTCTCCGTCACCATCCCCGCCCCTCCTGGGACACCGTCCCCCATGGTCCCCTCCTCTCCATCATGGTCCATCACCAGCCCCCATTCTCCATCACAGTCCCCTCCTCTCCATCACAGTCCCTCCTGGGACCCCGTTCTCCGTCATGGTCCTCTCTTCCCTATCATGGTCCCCCACTGTCCATCACCATCCCCCCTAGGACCCTGTTCTCCCATAGTGGTCCCCTCCTCTCCATCATGGTCCATCATCGTCCCCTCCTCTCCATCACCATCCTAGTTCCTCCTGGGACACCATCCCCCATGGTGGTCCCCTCCTCTCCATCATGGTCCATCATCGTCCCCTCCTCTCCATCACCATCCTAGTTCCTCCTGGGACACCATCCCCCATGGTGGTCCCCTCCTCTCCATCATGGTCCATCATCGTCCCCTCCTCTCCATCACCATCCTAGTTCCTCCTGGGACACCATCCCCCATGGTGGTCCCCTCCTCTCCATCATGGTCCATTACAGTCCCCTCCTCTCCATCACTGTTCCTCCTGGGACCCCATTCTCCATCATGGTCCCCCCTAGGCCACCATCGTCCATCACAGTCCCTCCTGTGACACCGATCTCCTTTGTGGTCCCCTCTTCTCCATCACGGTCCCCTGCTCTCCCCCACAGCCCCTCCTGGGACCCCGTTCTCCCATCGCTGTCCCCTCCTCCCCATCCTGGTCCATTGCTGTCCCCTGTTGTCCATCGCCGTCCCCTCCTCTCCATCGTGGTCCCTCCTATGACCCCGTTCTCCCATCATGGTCCCCCATTCTCCATCACAGCCCCTCATGGGACCCCGTTCTCCCATTGTGGTTTGCTCTTCTCCATTGTGGTCCATCACTGTCCCCTCTTCTCCATCACGGTCCTTCCTGGGACCTCATTGTCCATCATGGTCTCTTCTAGGACCCCGTTATCCCATCATGGTTTGCTCTTGTCCATCACCGTCCCTTCTTGTCCATCAAGATCCCTCCTGGGACCCCGTTGTCCATCATGGTCCCCTCTTGTCCATCACCATCCCTCCTGGGACCCTGTTCTCCATCACGGTCCCCTCTTGTCCATCACCATCCCTTCTTGTCCATCATGGTCCCTCCTGGGACCGCTCTTGTCCATCACGGTCCCTTCCTCTCCATCACGGTCCCTCCTGGGACCCTGTTATCCATTGCCGTCCCTTGTTTTCCATCACGGTCCCCTCCTCTCCATCGCTGTCCCCTCTCGTCCATCACCATCCCTCCTGGGACCCCGTTCTCCATCATGGTCCCCTCTTGTCCATCACCATCCCTTCTTGTCCAGCACGGTCCCTCCTGGGACCCCTCTTGTCCATCACGGTCCCTCCTGGGACCGCTCTTGTCCATCACGGTCCCCTCTTGTCCATCACCATCCCTCCTGGGACCCCGTTCTCCATCATGGTCCCCTCTTGTCCATCACCATCCCTTCTTGTCCAGCACGGTCCCTTCCTCTCCATCACGGTCCCTCCTGGGACCCCGTGCCCCACCGCCGCCCCCCATTCTCCATCACGGTCCCCTCCTCTCCACTGTGGTCCCTCCTGGGACCCCAGGCGCCACCGTGGGTCCCCCTTCCCCGTCATGGTGCCCCCCCAGACACTGCCGTCCCCGTTGCGGTCGCAGGTACGACAACATGGCTGAGCTCTTTGCGGTGGTGAAGACGCTGCAGGCGCTGGAGAAGGCCTACATCAAGGACTGCGTCTCTCCTAACGAGT